CGCTGCCAGCCACCTCATGATATAAATAAATGTTTATATGCTGCATGTAAATGCAATAACATGTAATACCTCGATGTATAATGTACATCAGGTCTATAATTATATACATGTCCATATGTAGATCGTCTGTACCCTACCCTACGAGGGTGTTCTGTACAATAAAAAATCTTGATTCTTGATTCTTGATCCGTCGAGATCCGGGTAGAATAAGTCCTCAGCAACCCATGCTTGCCGTAAAAGGCGACTTTGCTTGGAAGAGGCGACTAACGGGATCGGGTGATCAGACACGCTGACTTGGTTGATGCATGTCATCGTATCCCATGCGTGGATCGATGCTCATGATGTCAATTACTGTATTGTCTGTTCCACCCTCGATTATTTACAGACCGCCGTCATATAGCTGGAATATTGCTGAGTACGGCGTTAAACAACAAACAAACAATTTATTGGTTTCTATCAAAATTATATATTTTCAGAGACTAAGCGTTAGTCTACTAACAAACTTAAGGATGAGCCTAATGCAAAACTACCATCATTAGAAATGGTTAATGAATTGCCTAATTGGGCTTAAACCCGCTATATATAAATGTCTACCATATTGAACATAATTCAAATAATGATTAAGGGATGACAGTTTCCAGTGAATAAACACTTTATTAGTTATAACCTCCAAACCTTTTTTTTCAAAAGAGTTGATTTGGTCACTGTAGTTTCAATCCTTAAGTGAGTGAGTGAGTGAGTGAGTATTGTTTTACGCCGCTTTTAGCAATATTCCAGCAATATCACGGCGGGGGACACCAGAAATGGGCTTCACACAATGTACCCATGTCGGGAATCGAACCCGGGTCTTCGGCGTGACGAGCGAACGCTTTAACCACTAGGCTACCCGACCGCCCCTCAATCCTTAAGTGTCATGCTGGCCCAGATGCCATCAGTGCCCAAACGTAAACAAACTCGGACCAGCGTGCCCATGCCTGCTTCATTAGAGCAGGGGAGCAACTGATAAGATCATGGTAAAAGAGTATCAGATTCAGTGAGAGGGGGGATGCTGACAGGGAGAGTTTGGGCTTGTGCCACTAAGTGTTGAGGGGAGTACGTTACTGTTCAATGACAATAGTTCCGTCAAAGTGTAATGTTCACTGCAATGAAAATATAACTTTTCTCAGAAAACTCAGTCTTTCACAATGAAGGACATAATAAGTAACACAACGTGAAACCGAAAACCCGGGGTCGATTCCCGACATGGGTACAATGTGTGAAGCCCATTTCTGGTGTGTACCGCTGTGATATTACTGGAATAGTGCTCAAAGCGTCGGCGTAAAACCATATTCATTCATTCATTCACTCACCCACCAACCCACCCACTCACTCACTCACATACATACATACATACATACATACAGCACGCATAAAGAGAATGCGTTATTTTCCGCGAAGCAGAGTGTGTTTGTGCACCCTACTCCACACAACAGAAATATCGGTTCTCTGTCGATCAGAGATGACACCTCACTGTGGTCGTAGTGCGTTTTTAAATTTTCTTAATGAGGACATTTCTGCAAATTGTACAGTTTGTATAACCAGCTTGACAATGTGGCTCATTATCTACTGCATTGTCAATAATATGTAAATCAACGTAAGGTTATTATGGAGTCTTTTAAAGTCCTCAGTATTGGAATATTGTTCGCCATGACGTTCAGAATGTTATTCTTGCTGTGGCAGTTTTTCTCCTTATAACATTTCTAGAAATTAGTAAACCTTTATTACGAACAAGATGTAAATGAACCTCGTTGCCCCAACCCACCTAAAACTTTCAAAGATCAATCAAACGTTCACCTCATCTTAATATTGATTAACCCTGAAACCCCAATTGAAAACTCTCCTCAATAGGGTTAGTGAATGAGAATGGTTTTACGCCGCAATTACTAATATTTCATCAATACCAGGGCGAGAGACCAGAAATGGGTTTCACACATTGTACCCATAAGGGGAATGGAACCGGGGCCTTCGTCGTGACGAGCGAACGCTTTAACCACATGATCTTCAGCAACTCATGCTTGCTGTAAAAGGCGGCTATGCTTGTCGTAAGAGGCGACAGACGGGATTGGGTGGGTAGGCTCCCAGACTTGGTGGATGCATGTCATCGTATCCCATTTGCGTGGATCGATGCTCATAATATCGATCACTGGATTGTTTGGTCCAGACCGCCGCCATGAGCTGGAATATTGCTAACAACAAACAAACAAACTTTTAAATGTTTCAAATAAGTGAATTTGGAAGGTCGTGCGAATAATCATATGATGTTTTTTTCTCAGTAAAGGATGAATCCAGATTTCCCAGATACTTCAATCTCCTTTCAACTCCTACACCGCATATAGAGACACCATTCTATTACCTCTGGGTTGGGTTGGGTTGGTTTGTTGTTTAACGCCGCACTCAGCTATATGACGGAAAACTGGTTGCATACTTACCAGATTAACATCCCCCGGAAACCAACACTTCCACAGATGCGGGGATGTCATACTAGGAATGCAACCTGTGCACTGACACGACAAATTCAGACACACCTGGATGCTGTCAAGACCAGGTCTGCGGCAAGACTTGATGCAACAAGGAAGTTATTGTGTAGTATCATACCAAATAGTATGTCAGGTCAAAGCGGGCACTTTTTAATTTCTTAGCTTTTCTCTTTTTGGAACAGCTACCACCAATGACGTAAATATTTTTGCTAAACATATCAATGCCCTTGTCAGCCATGAAAATTTAGTCTCAAATAACCTCCAACAACATGCCAAACATTTATCCTCTTATATGTCTTTAGTTGACTCACGCTTTCATAATGCCATGAAAGCAATCAAAACCAATCATGACACAATTCATTTTGCAACAATAACGCTCAACAGAGACGTCAATTCTTTTAAGTCCTCGTTTGTTGCCCTATCGGCATTACTTATGGATCAGGTAGAGCTGGCGTCTGTCGTTGACCACCAACAAGAGGAACTTAAATAAGGCATCCGCAGTTTGGTCAATAATAGACTCCTCTCCTCTCCTGATCTCAGAAGAAACTCTACAACAAACTATCATTCACCTTACCAAACTACTTTCTAGCACTCGACCCAACCTTGCAGATGCCTCCTCCTACTTCTCACAAGGTCAGTTTATATATACTCGGGCTGGCGATCGTCTATATGTGTCTATCAAATCCCCAATTTCCTCCTTTGGCAAACCATTACACCTTTATAAAATTATTTCTCTTCCCGTTTCTGTCAATGAGACATCTATCCCCTCATACTTTGCTGTCAGTGAAGATAATCAGCACTCTGTTACTCTCTCGGACACCCAAGTGTGTACCTGTACCGGGCGTAGCATTCTCCACAGCCCATACAGGACATCTCTAACTCCTGGCACTGTTCCTTCTAGTGAGCTCGCCCTTTTTCAAAACAACAGAGCACATGTAAAGCAACTGTATGACTTTCGTTATGTAACCAAGCCTCACCCTCCTACTCTACTTGAAATTGACCACTCTACTGTGTTAATCTATCGTATCCTTACCCTATCCCTAACCTGTCCTTCCATACAACGTATGATTCCAGGCTGTTCCTTCTGTGTCCTGAAGTCTCCGTGCTCCTGTGCTTTGTCAACTGAATCTATCTTCTTCCCTGCATCCTTCAGCTCTTGCACAAACAACACAACACACTTTACACCCTGTCAGTCCTGCCCTTCTTCAGCATTTCTTTGATGACTCTAACCTCTCTGCTATTGTCGGAAAAACTACCATCAAAGGGGCTATCTCAATCACCAATATTACTCAATTTCACCTCTACTCTCACAACTTTTCTCCTTTTTGGCACGAGATAACCAAGACCATCTCAGTCTCAAAAGAATGGTTGCCAGTGCCAAGAAAGATGAAACAGTCTTCAAAAATCTAGCCGAACCTTTATTAGATGGTGAAATTAATATTCCAAATTCATGGCCCGACACTAATGCCTTTATTGTTATAGTCAGTACCATCATGTCGTCCTTTTCGGTAATCTTAGTTATTTGGCTTTTCTTGAAATTACGTTCTTTAACGACTGCTCTTGCTCTTCTGACCAATGCAAGACCTATTCGTCCTCTACAACCACCATCTTTTGACTACAAACAGCTCGTGCCTACCACATCAAAACCCGACAACCTTTCTCTACCTGATGTAACAGAGTATCACGTTTCTAACTGTTAGGGGTTCTATCCATTCTACTTTGTCTTATCAATTTCACTCTTATATTCAAACAGAAAAAAATCCAATCAAAACTGCCTTGTCTTAGAAATCACCACCGGCCCGGACTGTATTACTATTCCTATTATTGCTCTTTCTCTATGTCCATCTTACTGGACCATCAGCCCCCCTACTTATATTCACAATCTCAGAGTCACTGATTACTTATTTCCTAGTCTTTCTCTGGAATGGCCTAACTTCTGCATCAATAACAACTTATGGACACCTTCCTTTATCTACCAACTGAAATTCGTTTAAAAAAATTTAATGCCAAGGAACTGCGAAAAATGCTAAACCAACCTGTCAACACCCCTAACCAACCCTCCACAGCATCAGTTAGCTCATCGTCATCTTCAAATCTCCGGCCCCGGAGGTGTTTTTTCAGCCAAGAAAGAGGTGGAAGTCACTGAGGGCTAGGTCTGGAGAATAGGGTGGGTGAGGGAGGAGTTCGTAGCCACATTCTTGCACAGCTGTCATTGCAACAAGGCTCGTGTGGACTGGCGCGTTGTCCTGGTGAAGCAGAATTCCCACGACGGATTTTTCCACGACGTTTCACCTTGATGGATTGGTGCACCTGCTTCAATAACTTGGCGTAATACTCCCCATTCATTGTGGTGCCATGGGGCAGGTAGTCGATGTGAATCATTCCTTTGCTGTCACAGAAGATGGTCATCATAACCTTCTTGGTGGATCTGGTGGCATTGAACTTCTTTGTCTTTGGAGAAGTGGCGTTTTTCCATTCCATCGACTACTGTTTGCTCTCTGGATCATAATGATAAACCCAGGTTTCATCACTGGTTACAATCCTAAAATGAAAATCATCTGGGTTGGCGTTGTACAAGGCTCCACTGATGGTGACCCTTGATAGCTTCATGTCATCTGTAGGCATTCTCGGGACCCATCTGGCACACACTTTGGACATGTGGAGTTTACCATGAATTATATTATGTATGGATCTATATGATAGGCCTGTTGTTTCTTCTAGCTCATGGAGAGTAATACAGCGGTTTTCCATCACTAGTTTGTGTACAGTGTCAATGTTTTCAGGGCTGGTACTGGTTGATGGCCGTCCGGACCGGGCATCATCTTCTAAGCTCCCTCTGCCACGCTGAAATTCCTTCACCCATCGTTTGATAGTTGCAGACGATGGGGAAGACTCTCCATAAACTGCAGTCAATCGCTCTTCCACCTGTTTGGCAGATTGACCCTCTAGGACAAGGAACTTTATCTCCGCTCTGTACTCAGATTTGTCCATTTTGCCAATTCACTAGGGGTAGTTCTCTTCCACGAAGTGTTGTGACAAAATATTTGCAGCCAGCAATATGTTTCTACATAGCATCTGTAGCTAAGACATTCATGTACATCAGGTGTAGCGCATTGTACCATTCGACCAGGAATACTGTGTGAGGCTCAAAGCTTTTTGATATCCCCTCGTATATCCTGTTAATCCATGGAGGATATATTAAGGCTTTGGATGACGATACTGTAAAGCCGAACAAGGTGCTGTACCCAAATCTTACCATAACGTAGTATTACTTCCTACCACACCCAGTTGTCATAGTTGTCTTGAATATTTATCATCTGTATATCCATTCTTCAGAAATGATTATGTCCATACTTTACCATAATCCCTATTATGACGTATATTTGCCAATGCCCATATTGCCACTTTTAAGAACACAAGCGTATCCTAACCTTCGTCTTTGATGAACATTAGTCAAATGTCATATGTTATTTTTTGCATTGTATTATCATGTCTGTATCAACATTTATCCTTATCTAACTATGTCAATTCTATTTTTTGCTTTTGAGGACAAAAGCTTCCCGTCGCAGGGGGTATTGTCATAGCTTTCGTCTAACACCAATTCCCCATAAGAAAATATATATTAATCAGCCTATATCGGTAAACCAATATGACAATTCTTAAAGTAAATTCTGTGTAGTGAATGCACTAACTGACCGCCGCATACAAGATATTTTATGTTTCACATATGCGGCTAAACTCACGGTCACTCCAGCTGTGGGACAGTGGCCCATCATGCAAGTCTCCCCAGCCAGGCTGACACAAAGGGTCACTCTCTCAGAGAACCAGTGATTAGAGGGTTAACTTCACGTCACAGGGTCGGCACACATAGTCAGTCCGACTGTGAAATAAGGGTCAGTTAGGAAATATAACAACCTACTTGAATAAATTCTTAAATAATGACGCAACCATCCACGGTTACAGCCGATCAACCGCTGACACCTTGGATGTTGTGATCTTTAGTTATGTAACGTAATGAAGGCCTGAGTTGTATATATACGGCGGTCGGTGGTAGCAAACTAGAAATAAACTAGAAAACTTCAAGGCCCTAGGCGTATTCCTAATCAAAACAGACCTAATTAAGCGCATCTAAAAACTAATTAATCTACCAATCCAAAATCCAATAAACATACAAACACCCACCTCACCCGGTTCCCTTAGTTCCCTCCTCCACCCACCTCGGCATTTATTCCAAATTTAAAAATTTCAAAAAATCAATATAAGCAACCCCTAAAAACCCCCTCTTGGGTTGCACACACCACTTTCACCCTTCTCGGAATACACTAAATGGTCCGGCCAGGCCCGTGTGCGAAATACGCTGCAGTCGGAAAGCGCACGTTAAACCTTCTATATCAGTCAGTCAGTCAGTAGCAAACTTCACTCTGCTTCCACCAATAAACGCCATCAACTCCGCATCCTCCTCTGTTCTTCAAGGTAAGACACTATTGACTTAACTGTTAACTTATTCTGTCAGCTACGATCTTAATACGTTAGGTGTAGGTTAGATATATTTCGACTATATCGTAGCTTTGAGAAAATTATCATTGACTTAATATCCAGACAATACTTCCTCTCGCGAAGGTATATTTTGGTACAGTAAAGTACGGTTATAACGAACTCAAAGGGACTACTAATTTTAGTTCGTTATAACCGTAGTTCGTTATAAGCATATATACAGTATAACAACAGCAAATAGTCAGGACCCAAAAGTAAGTTCGTTATATCCGTCAGTTCGTTATAAGCGTGTTCGTTATAACCGTAGTTTACTGTATATTAGTATACTAGTAGCACGGCAACATCCCAATATGAGTACGTGTACCAATGTCAATAACTTGTACGTTCCTACATTCAGGGACACATACTCAAAGCAATGATTTGCCTGTAACTTAGTAGCAATGAAAACTGAGTCGGCCAGCATTAAATTATATTGTTTGTTATAACAATATGTTGTTAAATATCCACGCGTGACAGCGTGAGACCGTGTACTGTTTTCTACTAGACATATTTTCTCGTAGTAAATGCCTTTTAATAACCAGCTGTAAAACCTTAAAATACGTATTGTACATCTATATAGTCATCTCATTATCTGTTGTTTACCGATTATATTATTATGATCATACGTGTTGTACACGTATCGAATTATTATAATTATATGTATACGATAATATGTGTATGACTACCTCTGAACACGACCCGTGAAGATTCCGGGTAGAATAGGTCTTCAGCAACCCATGCTTGTCGTAAAAGGCGACTAACGGGATCGGGTGGTCAGACTCGCTCACTTGGTTGATGCATGTCATCGATCCCAATTGCGTGGATCGATGCTCATGATATTAATCACTGGATTGTCTGGTCCAGACTCGATTATTTACAGACCGCCGTCATATAGCTGGAATATTGCTGAGTGCGGCGTAAAACAACAAACCAACCAACCAAACCTCTGAACACGTGTTGCACAAGTATTATATTATCTTGTCATTATAATTAAATGTACTTGACTCTGCTTCCACCGAATAAACGACATCAACTCAGCAGCCTTCTCTGTTCTTCAAGGTGATAGCCAGTCGTGACCGCTCTACTACCGCTAATTCCCCTAATTAAGTAGTAACACCCAAAGGACGTCTATGTCACCCAAAAGACACGCTACGTCAAGCGCATTTGCGATTCGGTCAATGATATTGCGTCCTCGTCTCATCCGCTATGCAGGGAATACGAAATTTTACACAGGGAGCAACTTCATTTGTTTATGGATAAGGCGAACAATGAAGTTAAAGAGAAACACAGAAGTTATGGGAATTTTATAGACGTAGTGTTAAACAAGCTTATTACCAGAGAAACAGAGATTCGTAATTCTTCAAGAAAACAGAAATGTGTAAGGTGTGATAGGGGGGATTACGAAAGGGGAAAGAAACTGCCAGAAACGCAAACCATTTAGAGGGGGGGACCCGTCGCAACCGAAACGACTCTACACTTTTCCAGTCCCGATTCCCGCACGGTTATCACTGAGGATGAGGGGTACAGTCACATTGCATCCTGACACAAAGACACGCACAGCATCGTTCTCACTGACCCAATGTACATATACCCCAATAGCGCTGAGACGGTTAGGGAAGTGCTGCGACAAATGTGCAGGGAAACGATTTAGATCATTATGGTGGTGATAAAAGACATTGGACTGTAGTAGGCTGTGGTGGTTTGCCATTTTCTATCATAAAGAAATTGAAGGATGAAGCGTGTGTGTGCCAGGCATGCCATAGCAGTTTCTAAAACAGAAGTCTCACGCAAACAAGCCTGTACAAATGCATTTTCAAAATTAGAATTTGATTGAGTGTATCTTAAAATCGAACTAAATTGGACAACCCTTCTGGAGTATTTCTGTGGGCTTTAAAACTGAAACAGCTAACTGCCCAAAACGGTAGCGACCATCATAGGGCTCTGCTCCTTGCTTTCCATCTCGGCACTCTCCGTGAGCTCATCAACCACTATGTCACATCTGAATCTGCCCCCCATTCGGCCAAAGGTTTCCTAAATCATGCATGCAAAGTCTCAATACACTTCCCCAAATGCTAGCTACCTTTTGGAAAAGGTTTTCAGATATTCGCGAGGGATAATTAACTTTAAAATGGCAGTCCGTCGGAATCACCCTCCGCTTCCTCTTTGTGCCTACCGCCAAAGTCAGGGTAAAACCATGTACATATCCATAATGTGTTTAACTGTGCATATACATAAACTCAAATGTATCAAATAAGCAAACGGAGCAAAATCTGTTAACCTCATCTTTATTATTCCATTGTGCCGTGGCTCCCTCAAAATTGTGTATTACACTTTAAGATGAGGATGGACAGGGAGCACTCTCGTGTCAAGCCAGGCACCATGTTGTCTCCGAAGACGTTTGGAAAACAATGCAATGAACACTCGGTACAGCCGTTTTGCTGCATAACTTCAAGAATGACGAAGCGTTGACAGATGACAAGCCTTCCGGTATCAACTATACGAAAGACGCGCAAAGTGAAGTGGTGCACTGATTGGCACCACCATCCTTAATAGACGTCAGAGTAACGTGAAGATCCGGTGAAGAATAAGATCTTCATCAACCCATGCTTGCTGTAAAAGGTGACTATGTAAGAGGCGACTAATGGGATCGGGTGGTCTGGCTCGCTGACTTGGTTGATGCATCTCATCGTATCCCAACTGCGCGGATCGATGCTCATGGTGCCAATCACAGGATTGTCTGGTCCAGACTCTATTATTTTACAGACCGCCGTCATATAGTTGGAATAATGCTGAGAGTGGTGTTAAACAACCAAATATAGACGTCAGAACGCCTGAGAACACATATCAAGTAGGAGACAACATAATTGCAAGGACACCAGGACAGATATGTTCCAGGACTTACAGTACCTAAAGATTTGTCACTCAGCAGTAAACAATCCTAAAGATGAATTTCAGTTTTCCATGGATCTCATGAACATTTTGAGCTTCAGATTGTTACCAGACCCACATCCAGGATGCACGCACGCACACACGCACACACGCACACACGCACTCACTCACTCACGCACTCAAAGAGTGTGACTTGGCAGTCAAACTGCACCTACTTATATCAGATTTCACCATTTGTGTAGGGAATTATAGTTTTTGGTCAGCGTATCAATCTGGAAGTGTTAATCACTGGATTGCAGCGTTAAACATCAAACAAACAAACAAACAAACTGGAAGTGACACACAGATGGTGGCTGTAATGCAAACAGGCATCTATTGTCTGGCTGCATGTTTTTACAACCTGATCGAGATGTCTGAGTATTGACTGCAACGATACCTTTGTGTATTTTATCAATTTTAAATATTATCTTTATATTTTGATATGAATTATTAACCAAGTGTTTGCACTATGATACTACCCCTCTGTTACAAGAAGCTTATGTCTTCAAAAGCAAAAATGATTAACTCAG